AGATTCGCTCAGAAAAGGAATCATCAATGCCTAACTTTACGAGACACAAGATGCCATTTAAGTGACTAGTTTTTAAGCTGGGCAAAAAAACCCAATGTGGACTGCTTTTGCCATTGTTCTTTGGATTAGAACAGCAAACAGCAGACTGGAGTTCCAGTGGAAAGCCACCACTTGCCTGCATAATCGGTTGCTGTCCACACGAGAGCATTGGTGGACGTGCTCATGGGCTTGAGTTCCATGGCCTGGGTGATGACATGGTTGGCGCAGACCTTCAGCACCTGTTCTCTCCTCATCAGCACCCGACAGCATCTCTTCTGAGGGTGGTAAAGGATCTTCATGTCTCCCACGCCACGCTCTTTCCACTGGTTCAGGTCCCGGTCCCAGCGGTACAGCTTGGTCCGCTCCTTGAACAAGATCTCTTCGTCCTCCTCCCCGGATTTCACATCCACCTTTTCACAGAAACATTAATTTAAAAAAAAATCACCAGATGATGTCCAAGTGACAAGACAAAGAAATACTTGAAAAGTTGACAAAGACTTTACGAAGAAATACCATCTTTTCTAGGTCTTCTGAGAGAAAAGATAACTCTCCAAAATCTCAATTTCAAAACAAAGCAACACCGAAGAGCCCACTTCAGTAATGAAACAGAACTCACTAAAGTGACTCATGTTTAGGCTACATACTGAATACAAGGAAGACTGTACCTCCGGCAGCGACACTATGGGCTCAAAGTGAATGTCCACATTGTTGGCAGTGTCCTCTTCATCACTGCCTTCATCATCTTTCTCTGACTGGGTGACAGCAGAGCAACCAAACACAGCCGCCCCTGCATTGCTCCAGGTGAAGTTGTCATCTGAAATGTCAGAAGAATGAGGTGTCAAAGAGCAAGACTCCTGATGTTTAGCACAAGACTCAGTTTTCACAACTTTCTAACTCTGTACTTTACTTAAGCAAGAAGGGAGCACAAAAAGTTCTGATTAAACAAATCATTTTTCAATTGAAAGTCTTAGAAATATGAGATTTTGTTTTGTATAAAAAGCTGCATAAAGGTTTTGTGCCACATGCCATGTTTAATTTTCAATTTTCTTGATGAGACAACCACTCAAGACGTAATGCCAAACGAAGTCCACAGCTCAATATTACTTTGGCTAAATATAAATAATAAATGGTACTGACAAAAAATATTGCTATTCATCAAACCAAAACACGTTTTATGTGAGTTTTACTCCTGGGTCTTTAAAAGTTTACAATTTTTACGACTATTTAGCTGCACAGACAGAAAAGAATTCCAAATTACAGTTTATAAATATAGCACTGCTAACCACTAGAGTTCACAAAAATTTAGCAACACAGATATTTAAAAACTAGTAAGTGACCTAGAATGATATTACAGGCAAAGTGAAATTAGTGCAATCTGATACTATCACAGCATTGAGGTAGTTCAAGTAGGTAGTTGCGTCAGCATGTGTAGGCTGCAAAGGAACAAGTAAAGGTTTATTCCATGCTGAAAAGAGAAGAAAAACATTTCAGCTGTGGGGCCCTCTTCGGATGTCACACCCGTCTTTTTCTAAATCACAGCATCCTGTGATACACGGGATAAATTTAAATTGTGTATATTTGAAATGTGTGCATTAAGTCAACTGACTGAAACAAAAACTAGTCAATAGTATGTATTCTCAAATTAGAATGATAAAAAATGAATGATCAATTAAGACAATAAAACTGGATAATTACAAATTTCTGCTACACGATATATATATAAGCCATGAACTAGCTGAAATTTGCTTTCACAGTATCAGTTCCCTTAATAAGTTAGGCCAAAGTATTTGTTTAAAAGAAATTGAGCTGGAATTATTTAAGAAATTTCTTCGTAAATGATGCTATAAAAATGAACTGAAATGGGGCAAAACAAGAAACTGAACTCATCACACAAGCCCTTGCCTTATTAGATCCTGGATTCCAAATGGCAAGCTTATTTTTCCCTCCTCATGATCCATTCTTGAAATCTATGCTGTAAAGTGGCTGGCATGAAGAAAAATCCACAAAAGAATGTTGGAGAGAAACCAGCTAAATTTGTATGTGACTGCCCTTGTGTAAAACAAGTGCTCCTTGTGTGCTTTACGGAGTTTGCATTCCTAGTGCAAACAAATTGCACTGCAAGACAGATAAAATACATACCACTACACACCTGAAACACACAAAAACCTAAAAATGCAAACTGTATTGTGTGAGAAAACTGCTAATCTTACCCAAGCACTGACATAAGCATACTGACCTTTTTTCCCAAAAGCAAATTCGTCAGAATTTTGAGCCAAATCTGCAAACGAGAATCCCAAGGAAGCACCAAAACCAAACACAATAGGAACTTCTGTGGGATGAAAAGGATTAAAAAATTTGAATCTTACATACTTCTGGAAGTGTCTGTCACACGATTGTATATGCAGGACGTCTGTTTGTTCAGGAATGGTCAGACATTCAGATTGGGGGATTCTTTGTTCTTCATTCACAAAATTCTCTTCACAAGGATTGGCAATTTGTGTAACCACACAATAGACACTTAAGACTTAGCACAGTTTTCACTGCCTTTGAGATAGTTTTTCTAAACACCCAAACATGCTATCCATGACTTCATAGATCTGATTCATTTTTGACTTTCCTCATAAAAACCTTTAAACTGTACAGCATGCTTATGCAAGTTGTTTTTCCAACTGGCATGTGGGCAATAAATGCCTAAAGGAGATCTGACCTGAGCCGGTGGAGCCAGGCTCGCAGGTCTTCTTGGTCGAGAGGTCGATGGGACGGCTGTCCTGAGCACTGGGTGCAATCTCGCTGGGGAAACTGGACCGAGCCCCTGTGGAGGCCGCCTGGTCACCTGCTGCCTTCACATCACCGCCTGTGGAGACGGCTGCCTCAGTAGATGTGCTCCCAGCCCCCTCCTGCCTCTCCTGAAACAAAGGCAAGTCAGCAGGTCTCTCCACATCACCGTTACTCCCAGGAAAATAACTCCCTTAAACTGTCATGTTTATCTGAAAGATCCTCCGTGTAACATCTCAATCCTGTCAAACTGCGAGTGAAATGCAGGCCTGGTTGAGCTCAAATTTCCTCCACTTAAAAATGACCAAAACTGAAGAAATGTGCATAAATCCCAGGGACAATGCATCTAATTTGTTAAATTCTCTGCAACTTGTAAAAAAATTAGGCTTAAATTTTGCTCTACTATGAAAAAGTTTGTCATTTGTAAGAATTGAGTGTCTGCCTTTTCTCCTTTTTCATCATTGTTTAATGTTATTGCTTTGATTTTTTTCTCTTTTGGGTGGTTTATGTTTTTAACCTGTCAAGTGCACAGCTGGCGTACATGGGCACTGAAAAAAATCATTTTTTCTTCTTGCGAAACAAACCTGAGAGAGTGACTCCCTAAGCACATCTCTGAAAGGCACCTTGCTAGTCCCTTGAAGTTGCTATTCTTTTCTTTTTAGTGGTAATTTTAATTAAGTGCGAATGTCTCCCGCAATTAAAATAAACCACCATAAAAAAAACTCTCACTGGAAACGAATGGTAAACTTGATAGTTAACCAGGTTACACAAGAGCATAGAAGATCTGTGACTTTGTCCTACAAATCTACCAAACATAAGCATATATTGGCAGCACCTTTAAAAGAAACAAGCTCATCCTGTGTGCCATTATTACGGACAATGAAATGTATTCCTCAGACACTGGCTAAATAACTATGGTCTCGAGCCTTTAAGAAATCCAAAGCTCCGCCAAAGTCTCACCAAAGCCTGCGCTGCTCTCCTGACTTCCACTTCGAAGTCGTCTGGCTTCTCGCCCTCGCTGTCGCTGCTGACCCCGCAGAAGAACGTAGGTGGGAGCAGGAGATCCTTCGCCTTCTTCTCCTCCTCGGGAGTCGGCTTCTTCTCCCAGACGATGACGCAGTCCGGATCCGCCTCCACAGCCTGCGCTGCCGAGGCCGAGGCCTCTGCGGCTGCAGGGTGTTGTGGCTCCCCCTGCTGGCTCGTCTGCGCTACTGCATCTCGGCTGTCTGCTGGCGTCAACGGCTCCCGACGCTGCACTGCTGGGGGGTCAGGATCAGCGTTACCAGTCACTGGACGCACTTTTTACTGGTTTTAATCAAACGTTTATCAAATTTCTAGTAAAGTGGTACCAGAAAATTTTAAAACAATCAACCTGTATGATTTCAAACAAAACAGTCACATGGATGATAAACACTTTCTTTTAATTCAACCAAGTCTAGGAAGGAATTCCAAGAGGTAAGCTTGCAGGTAGATCTTACCCATTTTGCCACAGAAAGGAAGCAAACACTTAATTCTGCCTTATTATTAAGCCTCGCCGCTACATCTCCTTACCAAAGAAAAATTTCAAAGCCAATTACTATGGAAAATAAACTCCTAGAACCTCTGATAACCAAGTCATGCTGCACAAAGTGTGAGAGAGAGTTTTAATTTTTCTATCCTTTCAATAATGTTCTGGCCCTATGTTAGATTCTGTAAAACCACCTTATGTTTATGAAAACCTCCGGTCCAGTTACTTAATGTACATGCCCATGCCACTTAATTCTGCAGGAAAGGGCATCTTTGGCAATTCGACTTCTTCAACAGACCTTTAATCAAGATGCTAGTAGTCACTTTAATAATTATTTTAACTGATCCCACTGCCGAGGGACACAAACCTTTCAGCATTATTTGGGAAAGATATTGGAAATTAAGTTCAGTCAGGTTGGGGATGGTGACTCAATCTTGAGCCCACTTGTTTCCAAGACGAATAAACCATCTGACTTATTTTTAACATTGCCTCACCCTCCTGATGGTGGTGGTCCCGAGTCTCGGATAAAGAAGTTATGATGGGCTACTAATACAATTCATTTAAGCTTAATTGGACATCGTTCCTTGGAGACATGTTCTCCAAGGAACATGATCAGATACTCCAAATAGTAT